AATGCATGAGCATATCGATCTACACCAATATAAGAAAAACAAAAAACCCCACTAATATCAGCCTGAAAAATCACCTGGCAGATGTATCATCTACCTCTACTGTCAAATCCAACACAACGACGAGACGCAACAGAAGGTAAGTCATTAAGCCGCCATGCTGGGGTTTTCCTCTCATCCTCAACATGGAAGCATAAGTGAAGGAGCCACATGAGAAGACATTAACCTACAAAGCTTTATGCCAGGAGTGAAACTGGAAACCTTCTGAGGCCCACACATTCTCCATCAATGGAGCTTTTGTCTGGTTGTGCTTCTTTACCAGTCGACGCACAAACACAGGACTGAAAGCGCCGTCACCTGATCGCATGTTTTCAGGGATAATAACTGAGCATCTCTGAGCTCAGTTCTAACAGAATTTTAAAAATAAATGTAACCAATAACATCCATGCCGACCTTCAGACGGCAGCTTTGTGTTGGTTTGCTGATCCAGAGGGAACTGATGAGGCATCAGGGCAGAACGATTTTGGAAATTATTGCAATTTTTTGGCTTAATATTACGATTTAAAAAATAATTTTTTCCAGTTTAATTTCTTTTTAAACATATACAAACAAATCTGTTTCATAATAATCAGATTTATTTAAAGCACAGATTACAACAATAAAGGAAACAGATCTGTGGCTTTACCTTATTAACATCTCTTTTATCGTTTCATGATACATAAACATATGGACTCCACTTTTAACCCTTTAAAGCCTGATCCAAGAATAAAACAAAACAGAAAATTACTTTTTTTTTTGTTTGAAGTCCTTATTTGGCCTTTTAACAAAATATGTAAAAAGAAAAAACTGAAATAAATTTTTGATATTAATAATTTATTACTATGCGATAAGTCCAGATTATTTTTTGTGTAGTCTTCTGCCCTCTGTTATCAGGTATATCTGATTGTGTACAATAGGATTTTGAGCAAAGTTTTTACCATTAAATTATGCAAAAGGTGTCAGACGCAAAACATTTCAGAAACTGTATGTATCAAGTATGATACATTTGGCATTACAGGGTTAAACACTGACAGATTTTAACAGGACAGTCTATAAATAAATAAATAAAATAAGATACGAAAATAATAATATTAATCGATCTCCAGTCAGTTGCATCACACATACTAAAGTGCAGGAAAGGTTTAGCAAACAAATGTCATCCTCTTTCTTAAACCCAAAATAATTCCCCACAAGTGACGTACCGCTCCTCTTTGGTACCACACCGTCAGTTGCGTCGGTTTTTGGTCAAGTCTGAGGCCATTGTTCAGCATAGGGCTGGGCGATAATCCAATAACGATATATATCGATCGATAGACGTGTGGCGCAATAGAAAAAAAGAGGGTCGATAAAAGTTCGATAAAAAAGAAACGCAGTTTTCCTTCCTTCTCATTGTAGCCTAGCATGTAGGTTTATGCTAGTCACTGCTTCCTCCCAACCAATCACAATCGCGGACCCAGGCATGCCGTCACCAAGCGCCGCCCTCTCAAACCACAACACAGAGCACATGAAGATGCAGCAAGGAAAGGCGGAGGAAATTGTTTCAAAGAAGGGTTTTTGTAGTTCGGCAGTCTGGCAGTATTTCGGTCATGGCAAGTCGGACCAAAAACAAACCACAGTCATCTGTAAAATGTAAAATGTGTCCAGTGAAAACGAAGTCTGATAACACAACGAACTTTTTTTTTTTTTTATCATCTCAGCCGCTCACACCCGCAGAAGTACGAGCTGTGTAGGCCCCGGCGCGGCTCTCCTCCGAGGAATCTTCGGGAAATATAGGCTATATATATTTTCAGTTCTGGGCAGTTTCCCACATAGTTCTATCAATTGAGAAAAAAATGCTGAGGGGCCAGAAACTTCAAAGTAATAACTCAGGTTAAAGCAGGAAACGGGGGCGGCGGCGGCGGTGGGGGGGCATTTATTTATATGTTATATTTGTTTTGGTCACTTTAGTTTATTCTTTGTCAGTATTTAATAACATAACTCAGGTCTCTTAAGTTATTTTCCTTTAAAACAATTCTGTTATGGTTAAAAGTTGGTTAAATAAAGATTTAATTCGAAGTTTGTGTTTGTGTTTTTTATTAAAATTAAATCATTTAGCAATATTATAAAAAGTCCAGGCAGAGCTGCACATAAAATATGGTTTCAAATCTTTTCAATAATTATCGATATCGATCAATATGCATTTTTTTTTATCGATAAGCTTTTTTTCTATATCGCCCAGCCCTAGTTCAGCATGTTACTCGCATACGAGTATCTACGTTTCCTCCTTGCTACTTTGCTAGCAAGTCAGCCCCGATCACGTGACCCGTCGAATCGCGGCCTTTGCGGTTAGACAATCTCGTATTACCCTGTCACGACATTAGTGCAAGTGCAAATGCAATAAATCAGTGGTCTCTGAATCGATGGTCTCTGAATGTTTAAAAAAAGTTCATCTAACCTCACCGGTGCACGTTTTAAAATCAGGCTTTGCTAATGGGCCGCTAAAAGGGATGTTTAGATCACGTTTAAAACGGTTGTCCATAGCCGAGGAAGAAAATTAAAGAAAAAACATTAAAATAAAGTAAACATCGCATTAATCTGCACTAAGACCTCTCTGATATTTAAATAGAAATCTCTATTTTATCATACCAATTTATCTATCTACTAAGTGACATCACACAACAGATATATAGATACATCTCTCTCAATAGAAAAAGCTAATTAAGGTCTCATTACATATTTACATCTCACCACAGAACCAGCCAGCACTCACCTTCAAAAACACTAATTATAAGTCTGGAGTTTTCTCTCCTGTTAACACAGAGGATCCCATCTGACATGAGAACTTGATGCCTGAGGCTACTGCTTTCAGAGTGGAGACATGAAACCCTCTGATGACAAAATTTAGATTTCATGTCACATCTGAAGAGGTGTTTCATTACTGATGTGAGTTAAGGAACAAAGCATCAGTGATAAACATGTTACATAATCCTAACATCCTGCTTTCATCCTGCTGGCTGGCAGAGCTAACAGACTACGACCGGCTAAAGAGGGCAGAAAAAAAGCCTGGTTATGCTACTGCAGCAGTGTGTCGCAGTGAGCTTGTCGCAGATATTTTTGATTTATGCTCAATATTGAAGCATGGTCTGCGCTATGTTATTCCACGCCACAACGCAGGAGAGACGATCAGGAACTAGCTGTGGGTCTAGATACGGCCGAGGCGGTGAGGAAGTGGGGGCAAGTTTGTCCGACAACGGAGGGACATGAGGGCCAAAAAGAGCGGGGATCCAGGTGGAAAAAGGGTCCCAGCGTTCTCGCGCGTTCTGTCTGCAGTCATCTACAGTTTTGGAGAGGTGCAGCAGAGTGTCTGTGGAAGGGGGCGGGGCATAGCTGCTGCTGCTGCTGCTGCTTCTTTTAGACACAGCAGGCAAACCTGTGGCAAGCCTGGCGATGGGAAAGAAGGAGAAGACGATGAGAAAAAGAGAGCAGAGAAAGTGTGGACTGCTGGAAGAACTGTGGTGAACTGGTGAAAGAAAAGTGAAATGGTGCTCAAAGATGACCCTGAACATTTAGAGGATGTTTGGTGTTTTATTTTTTTTTTAAAGTGAGTCAGGAAATTGTCTATATATACCAAACTGAACTATTTTTGTTCTCTACATTGATATTTTTATTTTAAAATTCCCTGTATAACATGTATGAATAAACACCTGCATTTTATTTCAGTGTTAAATTCAGTTTAAAGTAACAGAATATAATAAAAAATGTCTCTGGACCTTTGGTTGAGGATTTCTTTATTCGGACCCCTCTGATTTGTCCTCTGTCCTATAGCCTTGCAGAAGCCATGCTTAAAGTCCCTTTTAAAGTGTTTTCTATTAAGATTATGTGTTTTTAAAAGAAACGTTTTCATTGTTTTTTTGCATTTTTTTTGCAGAACGATACCACTTTTTGAGAGGGTTGAATGTTTGATTCAGACAACTAAACCGGTTCTATAGAGCAAAATGTGACGACCTTCCTGACAGAAAACCTTTGCAGCTGCACCTCTGAGCTGCTATGCCTCTTCGTCAATCACACCATTAAGAGCCACCAGAACAAGTTGTACCTGAAAAGGTTAAGTGAGCTCCGTCCAGCCTCAAGCATTTTACTAGGCAAATATTTAAACGCCTAAAGAGGTTTTAGACATCAAAGCAGTTTTTGTTTTTTCTCGTTTTGTTTTGCATCGAGGATCCAAGGATTTTTAATCATCATACCAAATCCCGTTTGCATTTGTGGGATGAAATCAGGACTCAGTTTCCGGTTTAAGATGCTTACTAATTAAAAGAAAGAAAGATATGAAGTCTAACAGACTAAAAGCATCAGAGTAGAAACTGTTTCTGGATTCTTGGGTCTCCTGTGCTGCTGTCAGTAAACCCCAACCTCATCTACATCACTGGTTCCCGACCCCGGTCCTCAGAGACCCCGGTCCTCAGAGACCCCTACCCTGCAGGTTTTAGACTGTTTTTGTTTTATTAATTCTCTGTTGTACCCAAATCTTCTTATTTGCCTCTTCAAGCCTACTCCTTTTTTTCCTTTTGATTGTTCCAACATGCTGGGAGATGAAGTTTATCTTTATCTTCCCCAATACATGAACAATAATTGACCAAAGCCTCTTTCCCAGCGAAAATAGCTAGTTAAACCCGGTTTTTTAAATACAGGTCGACCCGCTTACAATCAGCATTTGGCTCCCTTCCCATTGGCTAATAAAGCTGGTCTAGCCCCTCGCTGCGTGGGGTCTTTCTCCTTCCCCGGCTAACTGCCTGGTGACGCCATCAAGCTGGGTTAGCGCTGATGATGTCACCAGTGCGGCAGAAATCAGAAAAGTAAACAATGGAGACTAACATGTCAGGAAGCCAGGGCGTAGTCAGTGAGCTTTATTGTTTCACACTACCATCTGTCTGAATAACATTGGCCCGGTGAAACCTGTTGCCTTTTAATGTGGGTTTGAATTTTACCTGAGCTGGGATTGCAGTTTGGCTCCTTTGGATACGAAGTCCTCCCAGGTGGGATAACTGGCCTGCAGCAAGCAAAGGGAAACACAGAAACATCAGGTGAATTCACATCTCTAAGCTTCACAAGGTTCATTTGTTTCAAAGAAAGTTCTGATTGGACCTGGAGAGAAACTGGTTCTGCTGAGGAAGGGGTCAGAACCCGCTCACACTGCTGCTTCTCTAGGATCCAGTGTCCATATATATCTATTTATCCATCTATAGATATATAGATATAGATTAAAGCGAAGGTTGCATTTCTGAATTCTCCGACTTTACAGGAGTGAATGTGATTGGTCGTTTATTAAGGGGGGCGGGATTGTTGTGGCGGAAGGTTCGCAACCATGTCAAATCAAACATTTTTGATTTTCTCCCGACCATCGTAGGCAAATGTGCAAAAAAGGATTCTTCTTTTTATTCTCCCTCTCAGACGTAAAGCCAGCAGCGTGGCAGAGATGCGATGAGTGAAATGCAGTGCTGTCTGTAAATTGACAGACCGTAGTAGCCACGTTTGCTCAGCAATGTCTTTTTTTTCCAAATACCCTGTTGCCTTTTCTTTTTAGGACTCTCAGCACAAAATTGCACAAATTGCCAAGACAGCGTGGTTCAGTATAGTGAGCTTAATATCCCCCTTTTATTTGTTTGGCTGCAGGATAGAGCGCTACAGAGCAGCTCGATCTCACTGGTTTTTAGTGGTGCAGTGTAAGCAGGTAGATCGCATCAGAGCGTTGGGCCGAAAATAAATCGTCAGTTCGGCCCATTTAGAAGAAAAACCACCAAAACTTGATTTTTTTTACATAATGAATATTTGAAATAAAGCCCATAAACATAGCAGAGTGGGCTTCAGGTTGCACTGGTCACCTCCATGGACTGAATGTGACAGAACCAGGATTAAGCTCCTCCCTCTAATCTTTTTCAGAACGCCTGGTCTAATTTGGACCAAACAATCGGATGATTGCTGCATTATTTTACTTCAGAGAACTCCTGAGCTGATCATTAAAGGGGTGAACGTAGCAGAAAGTTCACGTTGGTACCTTAAAACCTTCAGAGTCCTTCAGAAGCTGAAAACTGATCCGTAAGAAGCAGCTGCTGTTGATCTAGAGCAGGGGTCTGCAAACCTGTGGCTCCGGAGCCGCATGTGGCTCTTTGGACACTCTACAATGGCTCTTAAGAGTGGCTTAAAATGAGACAAAGAAGTAAATAATGTAGTATAAGAACTAATACCAGTCTTAGACGCTTTTGGGGCTTTTATAAAAAATATTGGAAAGCACCAGAGATATGTTTTTAGAGCTATTTTTCCTTTAATCAGCTTGACAACTAGGTGATTTATTATGTTGTTTTTTTACATCAAATAACACCCTATAGGACAAAATCCATGCTTCAGTTATATGAATCATTTTATGTTTTTCCTTATTTTAAAAAAAACAATAAGTTCTTGGTTATTTAAAACAGAATTCTAATGGCAGATATATAAAAAAAATTTCATAAAAAAAAAAAAATCATGTAATATTTTTGGCTCTAAACGAGTTTTAATAAGCTGGCTCTTTAGGTTGTTTTCCTGATCTAGAGGAATCTGCCTAAACTTGGGCCCAGATCCTACTTTCCCTTTTCCCTGAATCCAGATCAGCCTGTCTGCTCTCAGGCTCTGCTGGGGCACTGAGGTGAGGATAATACCGATTTAACCCATTAACACACCATTAGCCTCTTAACTCTGCACCACGCAGCCCGGGACCCACTGGGTTACTGTCTGCAGCAGGAGCAGACAGCAGGTCCACCCGGAGCAGGAAGTGATTATTTCTCTTACCCCTCGGCGCAGGAGGACTGCCTTTACTTCACTCAGGGTTTCCTTCAATCCTCTGTCTCTTTGAGACGTTATGAGGACATTATTAACGCCAGAACCACAGTAAATATTTTATTCTCCTGTTTCTGCTGATTCCTACCAGTCATTCTTCACGCCAAATGATCTGATATCCTACATTTGGCGTACCATTAACCCATCCTGCATGTCCAACCGTTCAGCAGACATTACGTAACGGTTAGCTGCAGTTGTGACTGAAGAAGACGGTGAAAATGGGTTTACACCAGAGTGTCAGGCACCAAACCAAACAAACAGCTGCTTTTACTTTTGAAGGTCTTATCCTTTTCCCCCACCATTTCTCGCCTCAACATAAAATTCTCCAGAGATCTGTTGTTTTTGCCAGGAATGTCACGGTGAGTCGCAGACTAAATATTCTTGCCGCAGCTCCGGGAGACCACAGACAGACGTGGCATCGGGGCCCAAAGAGCTTTCAGAGCAGCAGTGGCTAAATTAGGACCAGGTGACCCTTGGAGGTCGCTGATGGTCTGCAGGGGTTCCCCAGGCAGCTGCCAAACAAACAGCTGTCTGTTCGTATCTATTTTAGTGTGACCACAACACTGCACCTTCTACAAAGGAAATAGTGACGACGCTTTGGACGAAGGAACATGCAAAAGATAAAGACATTTATTAAAAGCTGCCATAAGGAGCCTAATAAACACCTGCTGTGACAATAACAAGGGTTATATTAATAAAAAGTTTCACAGTTAAAGAGTGGAGCTGCTGTTTTAAAGGAAAAGTCCGGCCATATTCAGAATTCAAACTTCTGAAAGTCCTTTAAATATAAAGATTATTACAAACAGTTCAATAAATGATCAGTGTTTTTAATTCAGAGTAATTTTCATGTGAATGTGCTTTACTGGAGGCATCCATGTTTGTCAAGAACACTACTGCCACCTACTGGTTTGTGACGTCACGGTGCGGTATCGGCTGTTGATCAAGTCCCAGTGCTGTATCTGGTGTTTGTCACAACGCGCTATTATCCAAGTCATCTTGAAAACATTCTTCTTCCAAATGTTGGCTACATATTACGGGTTTTTTTCTCTGGCCAGAAGTTCGATGGCAAATCCTCCCTCTTCAGGTTGGCGATCCAACGACCAACCCGTCCGTGGAGGATCAGGAATCAGAAAGGTGGAATAACTTTTTCCACTTTTACCCGATGTATTCCAGCATCCAGCTGCCATGCACGTGGGCATTGTCAGTTTCACTATAGCTCTGGTGAATTTCAATGGTGAAGTCCTCTGGAAATCTTCAATAATTTTTGTTGATTGCAGATGTGTCTAGTAGTTCCCATTGATTTAGCTTGTAAAGCGGGGAGAATGGCGCTAGGCTTACCGCACCGTGATGTCACTGCTGGAAGATGGCAGGAGGGAGGGGTTACTATATTTAGGCAAAAATGGCCGCTCCCAGACTCAGTGATCGTGATAAAAATTCTTCTTTTTTTTTTACTGATTAACGTTAAATTAATTAAATCACTGCGAAAGTATTAGTTTTAGGTATAAATAATGATCCGTTGATTATCCCTTGCTGACTGGACTTTTCCTTTAAAATAGAATAGACTAGACTAGACTAGACTAGACTAGACTAGACTAGACTAGACTAGACTAGACTAGACTAGAATAGAATAGAAAATCCCTTTATTGCCCAACAATGGGGAAATTCTGGTGGACCTTAGAAAAATGTCTAAGAATAACATAATAGTTAGAATTTAAAAGATAAAAAAAAATACTGTACTGTAAAGTGTTTTATCAATATAAAAACTGTGCACCTGGAGAATAAATAACCAATATCCAGCTTTGGACATTTTAACAGTAAAGGATATTTGAAAATAGCATCAACATCAGAGATGTGCAAAATGACAGCAGCAGGTTATTTAACTGACTGAAGGTAGAAACTGTTTAAAATCAGCATGAATATAACAGCCTATTGAGGTTGCTGGGAACAGTGGTGGTTATACAGGTGCTGGTCATAAAATTAGAATATCATGAAAAAGTAGATTGATTTCAGTAATTCCATTTAAAAAGTGAAACTTGTATATTATATTCATACATTACATACAAACTCATATATTTCAGATGTTTATTTTGTTTAATTTTGATGATTACAAATGACAACAAATGAAAATCTCAAATTCATCATATCAGAAAATTAGAATATTGTGAAAAGGTTCAAAATTGATGGCCCCTGGTGCCACACTCTAATCAGCTAATTAACTCAAACCACCTGCAAAAGCCTTTAAATGGTCTTTCAGTCTAGTTCTATAGGCTACACAATCATGGGGAAGACTGCTGACTTGACAGTTGTCCAAAAGACGACCATCGACACCTTGCACAAGGAGGGCAAGACACAAAAGGTCATCGCTAAAGAGGCTGGCTGTTCACAGAGCTCAGTGTCCAAGCACATTAATAGAGAGGCGAAGGGAAGGAAAAGATGTGGTCGAAAAAAGTGTACAAGCAAGAGAGATAACCGCACCCTGGAGAGGATTGTGAAACAAAACCCATTCAAAAATGTGGGGGAGATTCACAAAGAGTGGACTGCAGCTGGAGTGAGTGCTTCAAGAACCACCACACACAGACGTATGAAAGACATGGGTTTCTGCTGTCGCATTCCTTGTGTCAAGCCACTCTTGAACCACAGACAGCGTCAGAAGCGTCTTGCCTGGGCTAAAGAGAAACAGGACTGGACTGCTGGTGAGTGGTCCAAAGTCATGTTCTCTGATGAAAGTAAATTTTGCATTTCCTTTGGAAATCAAGGTCCCAGAGTCTGGAGGAAAAGAAGAGAGGCACTTCATCCACGTTGCTTGAAGTCCAGTGTAAAGTTTCCACAGTCAGTGATGGTTTGGGGTGCCATGTCATCTGCTGGTGTTGGTCCATTGTGTTTTCTGAGGTCCAGGGTCAACGCAGCCACATACCAGGAAGTTTTAGAGCACTTCATGCTTCCTGCAGCTGACCAACTTTTTGGAGATGCAGATTTCATTTTCCAACAGGACTTGGCACCTGCACACAGTGCCAAAGCTACCAGTACCTGGTTGAAGGACCATGGTATCCCTGTTCTTAATTGGCCAGCAAACTCTCCTGACCTTAACCCCATAGAAAATCTATGGGGTATTGTGAAGAAGAAGATGCAATACACCAGACCCAACAATTCAGAAGAGCTAAAAGCCACTATTAGAGC